TTAGAAATATTTTATTTTATTTCACTTTATCTATTTTAATTTTACCCGAGAGGGACAGAGTGAAAGAGAAAGAGAGAGGGAGAGAGAGAGGGAAACTGTGAGAAAGTAAGCCACCGGGTTTGGGACTTGAACTGCTGTGAGCCATGTGGGAGTCTAATGCCCTTAAGCACCACACCAACTGTGGGCCTCATTTTTGAAAGTTCAGATGATGTTTGTACAATTTTGAAATCCTCATATCTTATATAACATTGGAGAGAGATCTTCCATGTTACTAAATAGTCTTCAAAAAAATATTTCACGGCTGGCCACTAGGCCTAGTGATTAAGGGAGCTAGATCCCACTTGGCTGACTGAGCAGTTCAAATCCTGGTCCTGGCAGCAGCTTGAAAAACATCCCAGGCGCGTGTGCCCAGAATCCTAAAAGGAGGGCAACATGGAGATGGGATTGCAGCCTGACCATTTCCCATGGGGGTGCTTTCTCCTCTTCCTCTCTTTGTCTCTCTCTCTCTGGCAAGCACATGTACTGTCTAGCCAAAAATTAAAAGAGAAAGAGAGAGTAAATGTTTATACAGTATTTCATCCTATGGACATGCTACAATGTAACCAATTCCATCTGTTTGGATATTAAGGTTGATTTCCTGTTCCTCTACATATTACTGTGATGAACAGAGTAACAGCTGGTCTGTTGCCAGCAGGTGATATGGTGGTTAAGGTACTGGACTCCCGTGCGGCTGACTCCAGTTTGAATCCTGGACCTGACAGCCTGAAAATTGCCCCAAGCATATGTGTGCATGAATGTCCAAAATTCTGAGAGAATGGAGAAGGGATTATGGCGGCCATCCCCCCTGGGGAGTGATTTCTCAGTTATCTCTCTCTCCCAGGCTGGGAGTCCTGGGCAGTTGGGGCTAGGCTCCTTTGGCAGAAGCATCACTCTCCGGTCCCCAGCTGTCCAATGGGATGGGGTCGGCTTGGCCCTTGACTTAAGTTTCTTGCCTTTCTTTTCCCCTCCAGGTAGATTATGAAGACTATATTAAATGCCAGGAGGAAGTCAGTGTCTTCTGTAAGGGGAGGGGTCTTAAAAGGGGGGTGCATGAGCCCTGTAACAACAACAAAAAAAGCTGGTACCAGTTTACACTCAGCACAGCTTATTAGAGGTAGCACTAAATACTGAAAAGGAGGGCCCAGCAGGTGGTGTGGTAGTTAAAGTGTTGGACTTTCACATGGTCGATTGCGGCTCGAGTCCCGAACCTGGTGACTTTTTTTTTAAGAATTATTTTATTTAACTTTATTTATTATTATTATCATTATTATTTTCCAGTTTGATCAGAGAGAGACAGAGAGAGAGAGAGAGAGGAAGTGAGAAAGCAAGCCACCAGGTCTGTGACTTGAACCGTAGTTGGCCATGTGGGAGTCCAGCGCCTTTAACCACCATGCCACTTGCCGGCCTCTGTCTCTCCCTGGTGAGCACATGTGCTCTATAGCAAGTTAAAATAATAATAATAAATAAAGTTAAATAAATACTTTTTTTTTTGAAAGGTTTTTGCTATAGGGTGCGTGTGCTCGCCAGAAAGACAGAGACAGACAGAGATAGAAAATGAGAAATCACCTCCCAGGGGGATGGCTACGCCACAATCCCTTCTCCATTCTCCTCTTGGGATCTTGGACATGCACACGCACACACCTGGCATGAGTTTAAGCCACCAGGTCCAGGACTCGAACCGTGGTCGGCTACGTGGGAGTTCAGTGACATAGCCATTATGCTAACTGCTGGTCCCAATAAATACTTAATAAATATTTCAAACCTGTGAGGTTTGAAGAGAAAGTTCAGACTGTTCCTGAGCAGGAGGGAGCTGGGAACTGTTCTGAGCAAGGTCTGACCTGCTCAGAACTAGGTTCTGGCTGCAGGATGGAGACTGGTCTGGAGAGGGCAGGGGAGTGTAGGAGCCAACACCATATTGCAGGGAGAGTCTCCTGAAGCAGGCAGCCCCGGGGACGGGGATGAGACACTGGGGAGGAGGCCTTGGTTTCTGGTTAGAAGCAGGGAGGGGTAAGCCAGGGAGGGTTTTGAACCCTGGGGCATAGGGCACCGAAGATGGACTGTGTGGCCTCAGAAAGTGGAACAGTGGAGGAAAACAGGTTGCAGGGACTGTGCTGAGCTCTGCTGGACAGTCTGAGTATAAGGGTGGCAAGGCTAAGGACGTATCTGTGGGCTTCTCTGGGAGCCCCAGGTCGGGCCAGGGATGGACTTGGCATAGTAGGGGAGAAGAACCATTTGTGGGGGAAATAAACTGGTTAGGAGACCGTTGGTGCATGGAAGAGGGCGTTTTTGGGGCATTGGCTTTCTGTTTCCTCCAGGCCTTGGCTTTCTCATCCACAAAGTGGGGGTGAAAAGCTGAACAGAGAGGGGATGGGATTGCTAGGAAAGGACCTCCAAAGGGACTTGGCAGCCTTAGAGAGGATATCTATGGGGTCTTGACCCGAGGGGTTGGGACCTATAGGTTTTTTCTGGAGAAGCCAGGAACCCCTCTCCGGGGAGTTGACCACAGTTCCGCCCTGGTAGGTACAATGCCCAGGAGTACTATGACCGCATCCCTGAGCTCCGGCAGATCATTGAACAGCTGAGCAGTGGCTTCTTCTCTCCCAAACAACCTGACCTATTCAAGGACATTGTCAACATGCTTATGCATCATGACCGGTGAGCTGGCTGGTCAGGGCACCATGCAGTGGGGCTGCTGGGCTGAGCGGAGGTTGGTGGTGAGGAGGCTGGGAGTTCTGGGCAGTTGGGGCTAGGCTCCTTTGGGAGAAGCATGACTCTCTGGGGCCCCAGCTATCCAATGGGATGGGGTGGACTCGACCCTTGACTTGATAGAGCTTCTTGCCTCTCCTTTCCCTCCCCTCCAGGTTTAAAGTCTTTGCAGATTATGAAGACTATATTAAATGCCAGGAGAAAGTCAGTGCCCTCTACAAGGTGAGGGGTCTTCGGCCAGGGGCTTGCAGGGCTTTAGTGGCCCTGGTGAGGTTTAAGCAGAAGGTGGGGGACCATGCTGGCACCGTGAACCCAGAACTTGCCTTTGTTTTGTAGAATCCAAGAGAGTGGACTCGGATGGTGATCCGGAACATAGCCACCTCTGGGAAGTTCTCCAGCGACCGCACCATTGCCCAGTATGCCCGGGAGATCTGGGGTGTAGAGCCTTCCCGCCAACGCCTGCCAGCTCCTGATGAGATCTGAGCCACCAGACCAGACCCCAAACCAGCCCTCCAGTCTCTTCGTAGTCCTTGGGGCCAGCCCCAGCACCCCCCTCCCCCCGCAGCGTCAGGGTCCCAGTGTCCAGTGTGACTAAAGACACTGCCCCCTCCTATTTATGGAGTCTGGCCAACTGAACCCATTCCCCAATAAACGGATTCTCTTTGGGAGCCTCTTTACTTTACTCTGTGGGGAGATATTTTTAGCTTTCGGTGGGCACTGCAGACAGCTGGGCAACCACCTCTTAGCCCCCTCCCCCCGCAGGTGCATCCCCCTTGGGGGAGGGGGAGAATGGCCCGTGGGGGTGGGGCCAGGGACTCTGCAGCCCCTTTCCCGGAGTCACCCTCCACGCCTCTTTTCCGTGCTGTGTCCATACTAGGTCAGCGGCCAGCCTGGCTGGCTGGGGGCGGGGCGTCCGCCTGGGTGGGGCTCACCGGGGCTGGGAACCCAGGACTTGGGCAGAGGCCTCCGGGACTACCGAGGATCCACGATGTGTTGGGCGGGACTCACCAAGGGGAGGAGCCGGTGGATGCTTGGCGCCTTCTTGGCTCCGCCTTTAGCCCCGCCCCACTGCGGCGTTTAAGGGTCTCTTAGCAGGTGGCAATGCTCGATCCCAAGTCCGGGGAGTGTTAAGGTTGGGGACATTCACAGACAGTCTAGATTAGGCCAATGTCACACAGCGCTCCCTTCCCATTATGGGGAAACTGAGGACCAGAAACGACCTGTTTCTAGGTCTCACGTTAGCAAGATTGAGGTGCCGGGGAGACAGATTCTGCCTCCCAACCTGGAGACTGGGAGGGGCAAACCTTAGAAGAGAGGTTTGGGGCGGGTGGTTTCACAGTGAGTATGTCTGAACCCAAAGGCCGGAAACTGTTACCGGCTCCCCTAGGCCAGCTTGTGGGGACCCCAACCGCCTGCGGCTGCCCCTCCCAAGTTCCTCCCTGCCAGGGCCCAGGCATCCAAGCCTCCAATCTCCAAGCAGCTTGCGGCGGCCCCTTCCCACCTGACTCTGAGGGAACCCAGGCTTCCGGGGCCCTGTCCCTCCTGTGTGAACTGGAAGGTCCCCTGCCCCAACCCCAGACATCGAGGCCGCATCTCGAGGTAGCCACGTTTTCATTCCTCGCTTCTCACAGGCCCCTCTCCCCAAAATGCTCCCTTCTTCATCCGGCCCCTCCCCCAAACTATCACGAGGACCCGCCGCCCCCACGCCCCGAACTCTACCAGGCCTGTGCCTCCCGCCGCCTGCAGGAAGACGCCCGGCCCGGGGCCGGGTTAGCCCCGTGGGAACGGTTTGTCTCGAAAACAGGAACCCGGGCCGGGGGCTGGGCGGGGCGCCCCTTCCCCACCGCAGTCCGCTTCCTGCCCCTCCTGGTTTCCTCTGCCCGACACCCAGGCGGGTGGGGGACACCGGGACGTCCGGGGTGGAGGTGGTTCTTGGTTTAGTCCCGCGCGGCCTGTCGGTTTGGTCACCCTCAGCACCACCAGTGGCGCAGACCCCCGCCCCCGGTCTG